AGCATGTGGAGAAGCTTGAGAGAGTCCAGAGGAGAGACATGCACATGATCAGAGGGCAAGATAATAGGCCTTATGAAGAGAGGCTGAGAGCCATGGGACTCTTCAGCCTGGAAAAGTGCAGGCTCAGGGGGACCTGGTGGCTGCCTATAAGTACACAAGTGCATCAGGATCTGGGGGAACGTTCACCAGAGCGCCCCAAGGGATAACAAGGACCAATGGTCATAAATTCCTCCAAGACCGTTTTAGGCTGGACATAAGGAAAAACTTCTTTACTGTCCAAGCCCCCGAGGCCTGGAATAGACTGCCTCCAGAAGTGGTGCAGATACCTTCTCTGGACTCATTCAAGAAGTGTTTGGATGCTTATCTTGCTGGGATCCTTTGACCCCAGCTGACTTCCTGCCCCTGGGGCAGGGGGCTGGACTTGATGATCTACAAGGTCCCTTCCAGCCCTAATGTCTATGAAATCTATGAAATCTATGAAAGACAATGTGGACTGGACTGAGGCAAATTCCTGACTTCTATAGATCAAGCAGTAAGACTGTCCAAGCCACACAACTGTGGCCAGCCCTGCATTATTGAAGCAGCCAGAACTAAGATTCATAGCACTGTTCCTTCACCACCACTGAAATGTGTCAGTTTGCATTCTCCAGCTATCATGATTCTCCTTGAATTAGCAGATTCTAGGTCATTAGCAAAAGAGGAGAGTAAGAGATCATAGGAAAGTCATGGTGGAAGGGACTGCACAAGGTCATCTAGTCACAGCCAGGGATGATCCTCCCTTGAGCAGCGGCCAAGTGATCCCAGCCAAGTGTCTGTCCAACCTGCTCTTGGGGATGGAGCTTCTACAGCCTCTCTCTATATCCCACCACCTCACCATCAGGAAGTTCCTCCTACCTCAATTCTCAATTCAATTCCCCAATTCTCACTTCAGTTCCTCAAGTCAGTACCTCAGTTCTCAATTCAATTCCTCCTACCTCAACCCCAAGCTCAATTTCCCTTTCTGCAGTTGGAGGAAAATATCCCTTCTGTCCACGTATCTCAGTGATCTAGAATCAAAACAGATGTTTCCTTGTGAGACCAGGGAAGCCGATGACCCTCTAGGCTGAAATTCAGCAAACAAAAGAAGTATCCTTGTGGAGATCCATTAACTCCAATACAGCTGTGCTAATGTATGCATGCATAACCTGTCATAAAGCAGATGGACAAAAAATGTTCTCCCTTCTCACAGAAGGCCAGGCAGATTTAAACTGCAGAAAAGTTGTTTTGCATTAAATCTCAGGGGAAATGTCCTAAGAATAGTCGGACAATGGAATAAGCTTTCCTGGACGTTGCAGAATCTTCTTCCTTGGAGGTTTTCAAGAAGGGGCTGGATAAGTATTTGTCTGGGATGGTGGAGAACCAGCACATCCTGTATCTTTGCAAAAGGTTGGACTAGTTACGGGTGGCCAGAGTTACTCACCCGGGGAGCCACATCTGATCCTCCACTGAAGTTCAACAGCCAGACAGCCGGGGGGGAGGGGGTTGCTGAGTGGCCCCAAGTGGAGGTGAGCCATCCCCACACCCTCTGTTTCCCTCCCCTTCCCCCCTTCCCTGTGGGGAGTGCACCCCGAGGTAAGCAGCACGGGGGCAGCCCCCACCCTGGCAGCCCGCACCTGAGCGGGCAGTCCTGGAGGGAGAGAAGGAGTGAGGAGGGTGGAAAGGTGGAGCAGCGGGAAGTGCCAGGTTGCACTGTCCCCTGGAGCCACCTCGGGGAGAAGTGAGCGGGGCTTCGACCAATTTCCAGACAGCTGCAAGTACTATGTTGGCGAGCCGCATGCGGCTTCAAAGCTGTGGTTTGGCCACCCCTGGACTAGATGATCCAAGGGTCACTTCTGACCAGACTATTCTAGGAGTCTGAGCCGGCTGAGGGAGGGTCCCTGGTTTAGTGCGAGGAGGAAGGAGGGACTGGAATAGACCTCAAGGTACTTATGGTAGGGGCATGGGTCAACATCTATACTAAGGCAGTATTAAGAGTCTAAAGATTACAGCTGGCCCATGATGGTTCAATTCTGACTTTTCTGGACAAAAGAAAAGGAGAGCAGCTTCTGGGGAAAACCATTAAGATAAACTAGATTCTTTTGCTGCCAAGTCTGTAGAATCCATCAGAAATGATATTTTGTTTGCACTGCCCCTTGGACACTGGCACTTCCATTTGGGTCCCCAGCCAGCTCAATAGCATGGTAAGTGATGGTAGCTCACTATAGGAGCATAATGGAAAGACTCGGTCTTGTAATACAGTATGAACTTGAGGGGTGAATAATGATGAAAAGGAGGAGTGCTCAGGGGACCTGCTGGGCTTGGGCACATCATCAGCACATGTGGACTTCTTCCCGGGGAGCTCAGTTGTTGGCAGGAGCCCATAGAATAGGATAAATGTTCTCTTGTGACTTCAATCAATGTATTCATTTAGACAGGGAATCTGGCTTTTTTTCCTTTCCTGTGTCATTCAGTTGCTTTTCCATCTCATACATTTTCATAACCCTCCTGGGTAAGCCAAATGCGGGTCTTAAACAACTGTAATGAGCAGGCAGTAACTCAAGACCTCTATCATTATTCAGTATCAGATCATTTCACAAGACACCCCTAACTATGTAACACTCTTTAATTATCCCACAAAGAGCGTATAAACATATAGTAATTCTATAACCCTTCCTGAAGCCATAGAGCTAAGGTTGACAGGAGAGAAAGAGAAGCCAATACTTTCTAACAAGTACAAAAGCTGCATTGAACAAACAGATCAATGGGACAAACTAAAGCTGATCGACTATTGAGAATATTTTTCATGAGACAATGGCTTCTATTTCAAAACAAAACAATAAATCATAGCCATGGTTTGCTTCTTTAGACATTTAGTTTCTACTTTTCTGTTTCTCTTTTCTCTTCAGACCCCTTCCTGCCATTATTCCTCCCCCACTTATTTTTCAGAAAAAGAGAGGAAAAAAGGTAGAGGGCAAGAAATGGAAAAAGAGAGCCCAAATCTTCTTGGAAACTAAGATTTTTGTTTGTTTGTTTTTTAAAAAAATGCATATGTTCAGTTTTTGCAAAGATTTTTGTGGAATTTATGGAGTGAACTTAAAGCCTATTCTGCAAAAGACAAAAGGCATCCTCAGACCAGCTCTGACAGCAATGCCATTCCCACAATTCCAGCTCTGCTTACACCGGTCCATACGAAGTATTCTTATTTCTCCCAATGGCCTGATTTGTAATAAGAGTTGTGGTTATAACTGATGCCAGTTCCCCTGGCCCTTTGATATGCCTGAAAACTTAGCCCTTCCATTATGCTGTTACTACGGTAAATGCATGTTTTGGAAGAAAAGAATCAGTAATGTCTTCGAGTTTTCTGTGCAGGCCAGAAGTCCCCAATGTGACGTTCTGTTTCTCTTTATTAAAACATTTTGTACATAGTAATGGGGAAACTACTTTGTCCTGGTTTGAAATGTCGGTAGTTTGTTGACACACTGATATACAGAAGCATTGTAGTGTTACAACATAACACAACAAATAATTGCATGATTTTTGCCTCGTTACTGTTCCTTCTATTCAAGTTGGCATTCACTTCTCTAGAAATTATACAGCAGAACTGGAGGTGGCTTGCATAGGACAGGGATGGCATCAGTCTTCATGAGCTGGTCTAGAGGCAGCTCATGGAAGGTAGATATGAACACTTCTGGTGTAAAAGATGTGATCGTGGCTTTTTCTCCATCACTAGGGCACAGTACAGAATGAGAGAGAGCTATTGATGTGGAGCAAGGAACAATCCCAATAGATTAAAGATCATGAAACACACTTCACCACTTAAATGTCTTTTAGATTCTCTTTCAGTCTATTTTATATTTATTTGTTGTTATGACCTCTTTAATGTATCTTTTAGATAAAACTAACAAACATCTGCTTGCATGCATTAATGGACTTTATGAATATCTTTTATGAAGTACAGTTGGAAATCCTTTAAAAATATGCGATTATGATTAAAATCATTGCTAAAATTTCACTTGTTTATATACATCATTTATACAATGCCTTGGAGGGAAATAATCACTAGAGAGCATCAGACTAACATCTTATCTTGATGCAAATATTTGTAAATGACCCTTCGCCACTGGCTTTGTTTTATATTGGGAAATGGAGAAAGTCTCCTAAAGCTCTTCTTATTTGCAGTACATTTCCTCAGTGCTTTAGATAGATTTACAGATGTTTGCAAGGCATTTTTGCTTTAATGCTGGAAGAACAAAGGAAAAGTACACTCAGAATATACTTCACATGCAAAATTTTAAAAGTATATCTTAAGTTTAATTAGAGCTGTTTTATTTCTTAAAAGAACCACATCAGATGAGATAGCTATTGGCAAAAAACTCCTAATTATGCTCTAGAGATTAAAGCATCTTGTTAATGATCTTTACATTGTTTAAATCATCTTTAAATCACCTGTACATTTTATTGGGATTGATTTCAGCTACTGTCATTGGACATAACTCTGTGAGGTCAATGGAGCTACACTGATTTACACGAGATGACAATCCCGCCTATTCTGTTTTTAAATGTTTGTCATACATGTTCAATAGATTACAGAAAATATAACTGGAAAGTTTACTTACTGTTTGAGTAAGCCATTCGTTTGACCCTTGCACAGATAAAAGTGGCATTTTTCAAGAACCAGGAATAGTATTCAGTACAGTACCTAAGGAGGTAGTCAAAATTAGGGGAATCATATCCTTCCATCTATTGTAAATTTATATAGACACTTTATCCTGGTAATGTTTTAGCTTAGATACACAAAATGCATTTGGTGGAAATCAAGATTGAATTCTGATCTCTTTCTTATCACTGCGCATCTGAATTAATGATACAGAATTCCCAGGTTCTCTTACTTAATTCCCTGGTTAGAAGTGGTGAAAGACAGATCAGATATTGCCCCATGACACATTTACCCATTTGGAGCCCAATCCGCAGTTTTGAGAAGGGAAAACTCCCATTAACTGCAGTGGGAGTTTTGCCTGTGGGAAGACTGTCTATTTTAATATGAGATCAAACAATTCTTGTAATGTCTGTTCTTTCTAAATTATAACCACACCTAGCCAGTGGTCACTAGACTGGGCCTGCTGTACGCATTCTTTTTTTAAAGGGGAAGACTTACATACATGCATATTTACTTCCGGTGCAGATCCGTCCCATAATGAACCAGTCTATAACTAGTCATATTACAAGTGTGTCTTCAGGAACAGTTATCCAGCGAAACGTATAAAGTCATCAACATCAGACCAGTTTGGAAGCAAGGACTGACCTAAAGCTCACCAAAATCAATGCAAAGTTTTCTTGTAACTTCTATGGGCTTTAGATGAAACAAATGATGAATTGAATATAATATATTTAGTCCTAATTTCTAAATGCTATTTCTTCTTTCTTCACTCTCATTCCTGGTGCCTGTGCGAGGAAGTTACCAATTTACTTGTTTTAGTATAGCGTTTCCTCTTAAATAATGATGCTTTCTTATCTTAAGCAATTATGGTGCTTATTCCAATACCTATGTTAGGAACAGTGATTAATATAAGTCGATCAGGGCAAGAACGTCCTATTCACATGGACCCATTAATAGCTCTAGATGTATTTAAGCAGTTAGGTATTGAGAGAACAATGTTTGAAAGTGCTTAATGTAGGTGTAACTCTGGAGTTATTGAGGTGTCAGTTTAACTCTTACACATAGGACAGTGCTGGATGTGTTTGAAAACTTCATCCATAAAGTCCACCTAAAAGAGCCGTTTTCAAAGGAACGTGATAGCTCATGAAACCCCCAAGCTAGCACTACAACAATGCTGAAATGCAAATGACATAAGCAAAAGTCCTGCGAGTGGTATGTCTATCTCAAAGGCGAGGAGCAGACATTAAACATAAACTGGTTTAAGTGATCAGACACTGGTTTAAACCTGTAAGAGACCAGATGTTCAGTGTGCACAAACCAGTTTGAAAATGGCTGAAACCGGTTGGAGATAAACCTGGCTGAATGTGTATCAGACTTAACCAATTTGGATCAAACCAGTTTCTGCAATGTCTGTCCCAGACCCGTTGCTGGTTTAAGTTAAATTAGACTCCCCCATCTTCCCGGCATGCTCTCTGGGCTGGGCGGGGCTCTCTGCTCCACAAGAGGTGTGACACCTCCCCTCTGCTCCCTGGCTGCAGCTCCAGCAGAGATTACAGACATCTGCCTGGCTTGTCCCTGCTCCCCCCATGCCCTTCCCACTCCCTGCTAAGCAGGAATTGCCCCCTCTCCTCTGCCTTAGACAGACACCTCTCAGCATTAGCTAGCAAACCACATCCTGGCTATGGTCTGTGCTGTGGCAGATGAGACAAAAGCAGAATCAAGAGCTGGCTGGTAATGTCCCTGTTTTCTTAATGGGGTGATAAACACTGAGTTAGGGATGATAGACACTGTGTTATCAATTCCCTGCTGGGCTGGCTGGGAATGGGGGAACCCTCCCTAATCAGAGCCTGGCCAAGCCCCCCTTAGCTCAGTACTGTAGAAGGGAAGGGAGGGCTGCTCTAGCGCCCCCTGGCTTCTAGCCTGAGCCACTGCATGCATGTGCCTGCATTTCTGGGATACCTGTGGGGATACAAACTGGTTTAGCCTAGCCAGGTTAGACAAACCTGCAAAGATTGAATCAATTCAGGCTCAAGCTTTTTGAATATCTGTCCCTATCCAAAAAGACCAAACATCTTTACATTTTCCTGTATTTGTGAGTTAGTTACTAAGTTTTGTAAGCAAATAAACTTGTAAGGTGATCAGACTGAAAGGGCATGAGCTGAATAGGATAGTTTCTTTAGCAACATTTTCAGCTGCATTTATACACTGGTGTTGCTGAGGTGTTAGGGTGCTACAAAGCACTTCCATCTTTTTGTGCCTACTCTCTTCCTTGGGCCTCGAGAGGATAAAGGGGGTGAAACCTGCCCAGGATCAAAGAAGTAGAGATAGGTGGGCCTTCTGCCAAACTGGAATGTGGACTCTTATAATGAACAAAACAGACCTGCCAGGAGAACAGTGCCCCAGTGAAATAATCCACTTCAGTAAGTGCTTTTACCTCAATGACCCTGAGAAACATGCCTTCTTCTCAGACTTGAAGATACCCAATGGTCAAAGTGGATCCTAGACTAAAAATAATGCTTCCCTAAAACAAATCCTACCCACGTACTTGATTGTGAGGTTCTATGGAGCCAAACATACATGGCGCATCTACACATGCACATTTACTGCTCAGTAATTTAGGTTTCTGTGCAGTAACCAAAAATTACTGGGCAATACATCTTCATGTGCATACCCGTACTGCGCAGTAACTATGGTGACTTATGCTAGCAGTCTTTTGGGGTGGGGCATGATTCAGTTATCACATTTATGCCGGATTAGTTACTGTGCAGTTGCACATGTGTAGACATGGCTTACTGAGCAGTAACACTGTGTGTGTGGACTGACTTGGGACTAACTTTAGTCCCAAGTCAGTCCACACAGCGTTACTGCACTTTAGTGGCTGCACATGTAGACACCGCTTACTGAGCAGTATATTACCGTCATTTGAAAGAGCACCAGAGGATGCGTCAAGAGGGTAAAGAATGATGAAACCAATGAAAGATTTACCTCATGGATTCTTGCTTTGGATATCTTCTTTGACTAACACAGAGGCACTGCTGAAAAAATCTACACAGCTCCATCACACAAGGATTTATCCTTTGTACCAAAACGGTAACAGGAGGGGAGGTCACTGGTGATGCTTTAAGGGTTGTCTGTGGACATCCTAGAAAAGATATAACTGAACTAATGCAAGCACTTGCCTGGAAGAAAACCTTTCTTTTGACATAGTTAGACAACAGGAAAGATGTTCACTGACAAGTTGATTACAATAAATGGCATAGATACATGTCTGTAAAACAGAAAGCTGCATTGGGAGGGCGTGGAGAAACAAAACACAAGTCGGGGGGTGAAGTTTGTATGAGATCAAAGTTCAAAACAGGGAGTATAGCATTCAGACCATTACCGTTGTTATTTAAATCTGCACTACATTTATTTAGCACAACCCTAAGGAATACTCTTAGAGATCTTACTTGGTTGCACATAGCATCATCAGTAAGTGTATTTTAAGGTTTAGTACTGCTTTACTGTAACAGACTAAGACAGGGATTTTTTGACATTTGGACACTTGAGTCTTATTCTTTTTTAATGGGAATTAGGTATCCTAGCAGGTTTGAAAACCTCTTTCCAAATCCTGATGCTGTTGGCGGATCAGTGATAGCAATACATTCTTGACAGTATTTCAGCAGATATGAGTGCACCCACTGTCCAGTTCTTAAACAACCTTTTCCCCTGAAGTCACAAATACCAGGAAGCTGATTATAGAAAGGAGAAGGCCCATCTCCATCCTCTCTGTCATCAACCTCCTGGTATTTGAAGACTGTTATCAAATCCCCTCTCAGTCTTCTCTTCTCTAGACTAAATAACCCTCATTCTTTCAGCCTTTTCTCATAAGTCCGGTCTCCCAGGCCCCTGATCATTTTTGTTGGCCTGAGTTGACACTATGCAAACTGTCCTTCTTAAAGTACGAGGCCCAAAACTGGACACAGAACTCCAGGGAAGACCTCGCCAGTGCTGAATAGAGTGGATTAGATTTAACCAGGCGCCTTGGTGCATGCTCAGAACTGACCTGGTCTTAAGAGCTTGGCACATAGCCCATGGCTAAGCCCAGGACAAGCCAAATGGTCCTCTGCTTAAGCTTAAGCTCTGTTAGGTCCTCTAGGTAAGCTCCCTGAGTTGCCCAATCCACCAGGCATTCCCAGAGCCTACCGAAAAATGTGTGGGATGAAGAGATCCATAGAGTACCTACATTGGGGTTGGTGTCAATCTCCAGCTTTGTATAACAGCCTAGTGGTTAGAGCACTCCTCCAAAAAGTGGAAGCCCCAGGTCCAAGTCCTTTCTGAGCCAGGTGGAGTTCAAGCCCCTGTCCCAGGGGAGTGCTCTAGCAGCCAGGTTAAACACTGGGTGGTTGGAGCCACCTTCCACCCTCCTCCTAAAGTTGTATCACTGTGCAAAAAAGCATTCAGGATTCAGAGAGACCAAAGAAGAGAGCGCAGGACTCTGTAGCCCAGCAGTCTAAGCACTCACTTTGAAGGAAGGGGTCCTGACTTCTGGTCTTTGCTTCTTGGCCTGTTTCTGTATTTTATCCGATGACTATGGATATTTAATCCTTAGGCACTTTATACAGTGTGGCAGTTTCTACTTTCAGTTACTAAGTCCTTTATTAGACCTTGCACTGAGTTAGATTTCATAGGCTTCATAGACATTAGGGCTGGAAGAGACTTTGGAAGATCATTGAGTCCAGCCCCCTGCCCCAGGGGCAGGAAGTCAGCTGGGGTCATAGGATCCCAGCAAGATAGATATCCAAATGTCTCTTAAAGGCATTCAAGGTAGGTGCTTGAACTAGATAAAAGACAGCAGAGAGAGAAAGCCCCCTGGAGAGAGCTCCATGTGCAATATAGGTACAGGAGCACTGTTTTGGGGGGCCAAGGGGTGAGAGAGACACAGAGCTGCTCAGCCCTGCCAAGACTGAGATGCTTCAAAGTAGGAGCAGATTTAGTATGTGCTTAGGGAATTTCAGTGTCAAAAACTTCAGTGCTTATGGACAAACTTAGGCCACTGGGCTATAATTTTAAGGGTCTCAAGTTTACACACAGCTGCCTTGCTTTTAAGGAATCTCCTGAGAGGTGCCTACAAGGACAGTTAGGCCTAAATCCCACCTAAATCTATTTTAAGGATCTAGTGCTTTCCTCAATAAATGTTGAAAATATCCTACCAATAAAATAATTCCCATGAGACAACAGAATTGAGGGGGATTTGCTTGGTGACCATTAGACAAAGAACAAAGGCTCATAATCTTTCTTTTACAAAGAGCAGCAATTCGGAAGCGGTTCATATAGTTTGTATGCATACACAAAACTGTGTCCATAGTCTGTTAAGCCTGCATACCCGGTCAGGATTTTGGCTGCCTAAAGTGAAGGTCATATATTATGGCATGAGCATTCCTTTAGTTTGCAGGTTCCTAGTATAGTCTTTGCAGCTTTTGTGAAACAGTTCATACTTTTGGCCCTGGATGATATCCTGCACCTCTGATATTCCTTTTATCACAAAATAGTGCCCATAAATAAACGGCATTTTAATCGAGTCTGTTCTTCCCTCTTATTCAAGGTGGGGCTTGTCCATGTGTTTGTTCTTTGCTTCAAAGCCATTTTCCCATCCCTACTTGGGTGAGCTTGGATACTAGGAAACTTTCATCCCTTTATTTTAATCTTCACTCTCATGTTTTAACTGATATTTTTGAATCATTTGAGATGAGTGAGAAAATTTCTGATGTAGCAGCTACCTAAGTAACTTTCTGTGATAACAAGAGTAAATGCCAAAGGTGCGCACATGCACGGTTCAGATGAATTCCACAATAGATAGACAATTTGCGTTGCAAAATGGTTGGAAAAGTCCTAGCCGCATTAACCCATGAGGCTGAGAGGCTAAAACTTTCGACTTTATATGTCATCCTAACTTTGTGGTAATTACAGCAAAATGTTTTCAACCAATGTGATCTTCATGCTGAGGCAGTGGACAATTTACCCTACAGATATGTCATGTTGTCTGCAGGTAACTTTAAATTAAAAGGAGCTTTGTGGGACATTTTGGGGGGTCTGGGTACTGTATGATCAGTCTTTTTTGTTACTATTACTGTATCTATGAACTTATTTCTTTGCACACTGAGTTTTTTTAAGGCCAGTCTCTTAATCATTTCTGTATATGGATGGAGAGGGTCAGACTTCTCATTAAAAAGAATCTAGCCAGATATTTGATAATAGAATGACTGAGATTGGGAATCAGATATGGCCTGACCATCTTCTCTGCCCCTTGCTGACAGAAGGAAATGGAGGTAACCATGCTGTTCTGTGTGCACTGCACAGCTAATTATCGTTCACTAAGTGTTGCTGATGAAGGAATAAGGAGGGGGGCAGGTGGTTCACTTACAAAAGGCGAATTGCTGCAGTGCCAACAGTTCCCATTGAGCATATTAATCTTTGATGCTCTAAAAACTCATGTTGTCCCATCTTCTGCTCTTTGGTACCAACTGTTCCCTTATGTCAGGCAGAGAAAGGCTCTAAACTTCTCCATGTGGAAGCTCACGAATAAAAATCATTGCAGCCAGCCCAAGTAGGAGCAGAAGGTCACTCTTGTGTTTCACAGCTGCTCTTTGCTCTGGATGCCTGGGAAGTATTTCCAGAATGAAAGCCAGCAGAATCAGCCCTGTATCTTCGTACACATCAAGTCTCTTCTGCACTATTGTCCTGGATTCTGCCCAGCAGGAACAGCGGAGCCCAGCTTCGAAGAGACAGACATTTTCCTTTAAGTGAGCACAAATGACTATGTCTGCATTAAGAAAAATGTGGGCAGCAAAGCTATGTGGCAGTCACAGAGAGAGAGCGGTGGTTTGGATAACAATTCTGTCAATTTTGTGGGTATTTACAGCCAAAAAATGTACAACTGATAAATACATTATTTACACATGGGTCACATCCCTCAGCCCTGAAATGAAGCATACTGTCTCCGGATATAATTGCAGAGGGTTGTGGCATAAGCATAATGCAAGCTGGAAGTTGACAAAAATAGCATTTACATATGTATTTATAGCACAACATACCTGGGGATTTTTAATGATTACAGCCCAAATAGGACCAGAAATTGCTTACTATCATTTGTGGACAGAAATGATACATAATGTACATAGAGTTGTGTGTGTGTGTGTGTGTGTGTGTGTGTGTGCGCATGTGAGAGAGGGAGAGGGAGAGGGAGAGAGAGGGAGTGCAAGAGGACTCATGCATGTTCCCCTCTGTCA